CTATTCCTCGAAGAACTGACGGTCCAGAAGATGCATCGGTCTGTGCCAGTGCAAAAACACGTCCCTGTGGTACCTGTGCCTGAGGACTGCCAACCTGAACACCTGACTGCTGCACTGACATAGTAGGAGTATCCCTCCTAACTGACCGTGAACCCTGTGAAGACATGGCAGGCTGTGGTGGTGGCGGTCTGAAACCTGACTGAACTGTAGCCGACTGAGATGGCCTCTGTCGTGACCCCCTGCCACTACCTGTGCCTGCTCCCTGGCCTGGATAATCACGAATCAAGTGACCCTGCTGGCCACACCCATAACAAGCCTTCGGAGCTGACGAAACTGAAGACGATCTCATCGGACAACTGGACTTGTAATGTCCGGGCTGTTGACATTGAAAGCAAACAATTGCATTCCTATCAAACCCAGCTGGCAACGGAGTGGTAGGAGCAGATCGTACAGACTGCTGTCCCTGAAACTGAGATGGACTGCCCCTGTTCCTTTTCCAAGAAAATCCCTCTGAGGATGGCCCTGCACCCCTCTTTTGCTTCAATTGCTCTCTTCTTGCATCCTTCTCTCTATTGTCAGCCTCCAGCATCAAAGCCCTTTCCACTGCTTCAGAGTAAACCTTAATAAACTGTGTCGTGATCAACGGCCTCATTCGATCATTAAGACCCGAGACAAACTTCCGAGTCTTGTTAGCTTCATCTCTCACCACTTCTGGAGCAAAACGGGATAGTGAGGTGAACTTGTTCTCATACTCCGCCACTGACATGTTCCCTTGAATAAGATTATGAAACTGGTCTTGTAACTTCCATCTTTTGGAAAGCGGAAATACTTCTCATAAAACAGTTCCTTGAACCTGTCCCAGCTCATCTCTTCAATCTTGTACTGGTTGGTGACTGACTTCCACCAAACCTTAGCATCCTTAGCAAACTTATACGTAGCTAGGATGATCTTTAGATGATCCTCTGTCACATCCATTGAAGTTAGTTGGGTTTCAACTTGATCCAAGTAGCCATCTGCTACCATTGGATCCGCACTGCCCTCAAACATAACCGGCATCAGCTGAGAAAACCCCTTAATGATCTTGAGACGCTTCTGAGCTGGAGTCTCCTCAACTTGAACTGTAGGTTGTGGTACCAACTGCGGCTGAGCAACAATAGTTGCTCTCACGACATTTTGCAACAAACGATTAAACTCCAGTGCCACAGAACCTTCACCCACTTCTACGGGTACGGGTGTTTCAACATTCTCTCTTCTTGGGGGAACAGCTCTTGGGGGAACCAAATCCCTAAGAAGCATGTTCTCATCAACTGGCTCCGCCGGATTAGAGCTAGATCTCTCACCAACATCGCCCCTTGTTGGCCTAGGGCCAACTTCTCTAGGTTCCTCACGCCGTGACATCGTGCTATAAAATAAGAAAACGATTCAGAAACATGACACTAAGGTCCATTGTGGACGACTCAACAAGAATTAATACCGTACAACACTTAGCATGCAAGACTATGCAAGAAACGTTTTAACATAAACAAGTAAGCAAGTAAGCACATAGGCAGTTAAGCATGCTCATTTAAATAAGATACCACGTAGCAAGTAGTCAAGTAAACAATATAAACAACATCCCATGCGACTCTATGCAGGCCTCTACCCGTCGTCCTAAAGGTTTTCGAACCTTTGCTCTGATACCACATTTGTAACGATTCCAAAACTGATACTTTTTAAACAAAAAAAAAAAAAAATTCGGCATGACCTCCCCTAAAAATAGGCCTATCACAACCTGTTTAAATTCATTTTTAACCTATCATGACTCAAATTCCGAATTCACAGTAATAGTAGATGATAATATACAATCAAATGACCTCAATAATACTTCAAACTAGTATTACTCTCCCCATTCATCAATAAGGTTTACATGTTATCAAATTCACATCCAAAATATCATCTAATAACATAATTATATTACCTAACCATGGTTTTGAAAAATATATACACATTACTACACTTTTGGGGCCTTACAAAAATGGGAGATATACAAAAGATACAAAATGAGCTCCAAGTCATCTTTAAGCTTGTGGAAGATCGGCATCCACTACCTCCTTACCGGTTCCTGGAAAATGTTAAATAAAATGGGGTGAGCATAAAGCTCAGTAGAGAGTGCCTAAGATGCACCTCTTGTAGCCCCGTGAATCCAAACAAAGCATAGGCCAATAGGAAGAGGGGTCATGCAAAATGAGGGAAACACATATTAAATTCCAATTCCAAACAATCATATGTAAAATGCCATAAATGCTATGATATGCGTGTCACTCCCCATTTCTCAGAAAACAACCATACTTTTCAAACTGTTAATATAACCTGCCCTTTGGTGACCCCGCAGCGACACGAAAGAAGGATTGGCTAGTGTCCCTGACCCTTGGTAACCCCGCGGCGTCATTATGGGGCCCAGCTAGCTCAACCACGCTAGGGCGACTCCCTAGTCCCCTCTAGGCTATATTAACCTCCGGCCCTTTGGTACTCCCGCGGTGACCGGGTTTCTCAAAACAAAACTTTTTCAACAAAGCTTTCTCGAAAATCCCCATTCTTTCATTTTTCAAAAGTCATTTCCATACGTGCAATCCCCAATGATGAATTCATGAATGCCACATACTTTCAATGTTGTAATATAAGGGATTTCTAACATTTGTCATGCCATGACAATATCATAAAATGGGGAATTTAATACCACAATTTACCACACATGCTCACAACAATCAACTAGATATTTAGCATTATAATAAGCATGATAAATCAACCATTTATCACAATTTCCATACAATCCAACAAATACACATAGATACATGTTTCACATACACGATTAAATCATTTAAGGAGTAATCCATCTAAACTAAGCATGCTTATCACATAAGTCAACAAACACACATATATAAAATCTTTATATGCACCATTAAATCATTTTTAAAGCAATCAACCTTAAATCAAGCATGTTTGGCCAAAATTCTAGAGGAATAACTCACTAAGGTACAAGAAAAGTGTGAATTAGACACTTTTACCTCTAATTGAGCAAAAACCCCAATTTTCTTCACAAACCCTAGAAATGGGTCCTAAGATTCGAACTCCAAGGAGTGCACTAAATCTGAAATCGCTTGTATGGATGTGTAGAGCTTGACACGAGCTTCGTTTTGCCTCAAACGGCACTCAATTTCGATAAGAAATGAGATCAAGATCTTGTTTCAAAGTTTTGGAAATTAAAATGAAAAGAAAAACAGAGAGGAAGAGGGGAAGAGAGAGGCGCACGGGAGAGAAGGAGAGAAATGAGACCATTTGTGGTCTCTTGGCCCTTAGTTGGTTTAATGGTAAGTCCCACCACCTTTTATTTTCTTTTTCCTTTAACTTTTTGCTTAAATTTGAGCCATAACACAACATAATACACATATTATATATACACCTATGCACATAAATACACAGACATTACAGTGCACAACAATTTTGGTAGCGGGTTCCACTCGGGACCTTTCGGTCTGAAAAACAGAAAAATGTCGAAATGACAATCAATATATTTTCAAGAGTCTTGAATTCAAAGAAATATCCCAATCAATACTTAAACATACACGGCACACCCCACGGTGTCCGGGCCGCAAAACGAGATAAAACGAAATTAATCCCGAAAAAATAAAAAAAAATCCCAAAAAATAAAAAATGACAAAAATCAAAAACATTACAGATTATCAGTCCGGTGAAGTGAAGTGATGAATATTTGTTAATGAATTTATGTTACTTAAGTGACAATCGTGACTTTTGATTTGTCTCTCTAATTTTAACTATTATGTTGATATTTATTTATTTATTTTTATATAATATTGGATGTTTGATACTTTGATATATGCCACCATTTTAGTCCATTGGTCAGGACAAAATTGAAGTATTGTTGTATTGGACAATTATCTGTTTACTTAATAATTCCTTTACTTTATGTAATTTCTAATTTTTCTAGTATATTTTTGTTGTTATTCTTTCATAAAATTTATGCCTTTTGCATGTCTTCTGTGTTTATGTGCACCTTCTCGTACACAAGGAAATCTATAAAATGTAATATTTCTAGGTATTCTGGATTTAGATTGCCAACTTGACAAAGTAATCAATGCTCGTACGAAGGGTTAATCAATCCAATTAAGTTTATGGGTCTAACAATTTCTCTATATGCCCCTCTTAAGTGGACTCGGGAATATGTGTCGAATGTGGTACTGTGACACAGAGTGTAGAATATCAAATCTTCCAACTTAAGAAAACCGCACTAAGGCTAGAAATTCATATCTATTGAATTATATTATTTAGAGTAAAATCAGCTGATTGAGATAATGATGTTAAAAAAAAAAAAAAAAAAACATCCTTGAAAACAATTAAAGCATCTAGCGTCAAGCTGTATTCTTCTTCTTTGTAAATTCACCATTCCAAGTACCATCACACATAATACTGCTTAGCTTTGAATTTCTCGGCAATGACAAGCTTCTAGCAATCCCGTGGCCAAATTTCTGGACCATTACACCAGGGCTTTAGTTCAACTCTTCGTGAAGGCTAATGTTGTGATTTTGAGTGGATTGTCTATCATGTATGACTGTTAGACGCTCTCTGTCCCAAGTGTATTTTTTTTATCGTGTGAAAAATAAATAAATAATAATAATAATAATGAGAAAGCTAAGCTATAATTAACACCAAATTTTGAAGCATGGTATTACTTACTCATCTCCTAAAATAAAGGGTTAAACATAAATTATTGTTGAGGTAAAAAAAAAAAAAAAAAAAAAAAAAATTATAATTGGCATTCAATGACAAGAAACAGATGTGCACAAATTTCCATCAAAATAATCACAGCAGTAACGAACATAGATTCATCATCCATTGCCAAAAAAGAATTAGTAGAAGAAAATGAAAATCGGCCACATCAACATAATCATAAATAATGTTATTGCAATTCACCTCACCCCAGCAGCACAAACAGTAGCTTGTATTCACGTCAAAGCTGTTGGGTTAACCAGACTCTCCGCATACAAATCCGCTTGATTAGAACGGGAACAACTAGAAATTCTCGTAAATCCTTTGTTTTTAGTATTGTACGATCCTAACTTTATTTGATCATTGAAGCGTTGATCATTCGCCACCAGAAGTTCACCGTTCCTCAAGAAACATAGCGGTTTCAAGCAAGTATTGGTCACATCACAAGGGATGGTGATAAACTTAGCCCAAAATGCCTTCCCGCCATATTCTTTCATCAACCACATCTCAACAGAGGTTCCATTAGCCGTAAATGAGGGAGACAGTGCATACAAACATTCATCAAAACCTCCCAACATGTAAAATTTCAAATCCGTTTGCCCCTCAATAATCATCTCACTAAATACCTCCTTTGACAAATCAAAAGAAACAATATTTCGGAACCAATGCCTCTGGGTTTCATTAAGCTCCATTCAAGAATATTCCATTACCACGCCATGCGAACTTCCCTAAATAAGTACATCCCCAACAGGGTTGTATTCTTCTCCAACTCAGGTCTTGTATTCTTCTCCAATAATTATGTCCAAGACAAAACATATGGAATATGATCCTTTTTGAGCTATCACCAACAGTCTCCTCCATAGCCAAAACTACCTTGTAATCGTTGTCGGAGGAGTCAAAACCAAACCCATAATAAGCAATTATAACAGAGAGTGGATTGGGTGGTTTTGGCAATTCCTTGGAGACTCTAGTGGAAGGGTTGTATATGATGACCTTGGATTGACCATATACACGGTGGTCTACATAACAAATCAAACCATTGCAAGAACCAATTACAGAGACGTACGAATACGATGGACAATCCAACTCCACTAGTGCATTCTTGTTGTTGTGGTTGTCAAGAAATGATTCATAGTCTATTGATTGGGGAGGGAAACTACTGAGAAATACTTTCTGATAATTTTTGGAGAGAAGTGACCGATTGAGATGAAATTTGACGAAATAGGGATCAGAAATTAATGAGCGAAATTGTTTTGAAACGCACCTGAATCGCAGAAGAGATTTAACCGGAAGACATGAGAGTATGTTCATTTGGATTTCTGCAGGTAGGTTCTGGTTCAGGACCTCCATTGCGTCCCCAGTTCTTCAATTTCTGTATTCCAGAAAGCGTGCACACAGTTGAGACCAGAGTGTCTGAGTTTAAGCTTTTGTTTGGAACCATATCCTATGGGAATTGAAATTAGAATTGGAAAAGGAATTAGAATGGAAAAAAGATTTGAAAGGAAACAAATTTTGTACGGAGTAATATTAGCAAGAAACCTTATGAAGAAAAAAGTTGATATAAAATTCTATTAACTATCAAATTTGTTAACTATCAAATTTGTTGTAAATTGATGTTATAATGACAAAAATACCCCTTAATATAAAATTAAAAAAAAAAAAAAAAATTATTCTAGGTTCTTATTCCTTTTTATTTAAAAAAAAAAATATATGAACTCTAAGAAAATTTAGAAAATTACGCACCATTAAAATGATGTTATAATGATAAAAAAATTTCCCAATGACGAAAGTTTTGAAAATTACACACCATTTTTTTATTTTAGGTTTTCTTTTCTATTTTTCTTTTTTAAAAATAAAAATTTAAGAAAAAATTGAAAAATTATGATTTTCAGGAATTTTCCTAAAGAAAAAACATTTAAATAATAATAATAATAATAATAATATGCCAAATGAGTTATTTTTTTTAACTTTAATTTAAGGGGCACCATTTTATTAATTTTGTATTAAGGGATATTTTAATCATTATAACACCAATTTGTAACAAATTAAATAGTTAGGGAGTTTTATGTCAAAAAAATTTCTTCAAGAAAGGTTAAAAGTAAAAGGGGATTTTATACAATTTCTCATTATTATTATTATTATTATTATTATTATTATTATTATTACACACGTGAGAATTTGAAAGTCTAGACGAGGAGGAGGAGGAGGAGGAGAGAAGAAACTCCAGACACCTAAGAATAGAAGAAGAAGAACGAGAACGCACAAGTGAACAAACCTGAATTACAATCACTGAGAACAAGTTCCAAAGAGTTGAACAAACCTGAATTACAATCACCTCCACAGCCTAGGGTTAGGGTTTTCAGTCACTAGCTAGAAAAGGAGACTAACCACCATATATCATAACAAGGGGTTTGAATCCTCTGCGTAGGCCTTTCTGCTGTAGCCTCTGCAGTAGTAAAAATAGCCTTTTAACAGCAACGTTTAGGAACATGCTTGGGTTTAAAAAAAGTCCAGCTAAGCGAACCCAAGTTTCAGATAGTTATTGAATTTAGATTTTGATCTCTCCCTCTATCTCTACTTATATATTATTTTGATAACGGCTACCGGCGCCAGGTCTTCTGACCTTTGCGTTCACTTTCTCCTTTATTAAAACCCAAGTTTCAGATAGTTATTGAATTTAGAGTTAGATTCTCGTAGTTATTGAATAAAAACTTCCCCAAAAGAAAATGACAAGAAACAGATGTACAAACTTCCATCAAAATAATCAAAGCAAGCACTCTTAGCACAAGGAAACGGTTAAACAGTTTAATAGTCTTTTTTAGGACAAAAAACTAAAAACACAAACAAGAATTCACAAATAAAGCCCTTCTCACCGAGGAGGGAATATCAACCCAAACTCAAATTGAAGAGCAATTCTGTTAATCTCATGAGCCACGTCATTACTCCATCTCAGAGATAGAGACGCATTTCGGACACCAGGCAAAACGGTAACTAGACTCCTCACAAGCTTGAAGAGCCATAATTGGGTTGCAATCCCCTTCTACAATGACAGCAATGGAACATATGACTTATGACTTTTGTAATTGGCAAATTTGGATATGTGTCCTATTGTGTTGTAATTTTTATTTAATCTTTGAGTTTCGATGTCGAAAGCGGAACTACAATGTGCAAGCATACTCTAATTCCATAAGAATATCAGTTAGACAAGGTAGGTAAGTGAGGACATATCGCACATTTATATATTTTAAGTTGGTCAAGAGTGCGTTGGTTTTTTCAGGGTATCATAAAGTCTTTATTCCTTAATTTTAACACTCGGTTCAAGTCCAACCGGTTCAATTTGGAATCCATTGGGTTAAACTTGCGCAGAGAAAAGAATGCACTTTGTAAAGGTCCAACGAGTTGAGATTCAAGTCCAACTACTTATCCAATACTGAAAAACGAAATTGTTTTTCCAATCCAGTTCCAACTTCCTTTCTTAGTCACATTTTAGAGAGAAGCTTTTGGCTTTAGATTGTCAACTTGACAAAATAATCAAAGGGTCTAACAATTTCTCTATACGCCCCTCTTAAGTGGATTCAGGGACATGTGTAGGATGTGGTATGCTGAGTGTAGGATATCAAATCTTCCAACCTAAAAAACAGCAATAAGGCTAGAAATTCATATATATTGACTTATATTCATTAGGGTAAAATCAGTTGATTGAGACGATAGATGTAGGGAAAAAAAAAAAAAAAAAAATACATAACGAGGAGGCTTTTTGCACATATACTTTAAACTTTAGTTATTGATGGTATACTTGTTTAGTGCGTCTCTAACCACAAGTGTAGAATGAATGTCCCATATTTCCATGTTTGATTATTGTGTCCGATTCCGATACTTCATGCATTTTTGTGAATGCCACATACATATTTTTGGGTGTTATTTTCAGGTGATTCGAGATTTTATGAAGTAGTGTGAGGTTGAATTCATTTCCATTTGGATGAAGGGGCTGTAAACTTCATAATAATCGCTTTATGGGCATTTAGATTATTTTAACATTATGAAACAATCCATGTATGAACTATGTGAGATAGGTCGAGAATTACAAAAATTGAGTATGGAGAGAAGTTATTGTTGAGAGTTTGTGCGCAGCGGAATGGTTGTGGAATATAATATGGACAAATAACCTAGAGGATGGTGAATAGATTTAATTTGCTCTTTTATCCAATTTTTACTTATTTTTAATTTTACTGAAATAAAATTAAAATCAAACCACGAAGCAAAAATAAAGTGCAAGTAAAGTAAATAGAGTTTGAGAGATGACACTAGGGTTTTATCAAGGAAACCCCAATTGGTAGAATAGACCAATTGTAACACCAATTGTAACAGGAAAAACTTCGTTGGACTTTGCAGTTCTAAAATAAACGATCCACTATGTTTTAAGTAAAGTATGCCAAACTTTGACTGAGTCTCACACCATATCGTTCTACTAAAAATCAATTGCTGACAACCCCTGACATTGTGACTCCCTTGTCTAATAGCTCTCGACCTCAGGCTCACTCTCGATCTCTATAGAAGAGTTACAGGTAGATCAAACAACACTCCACGAATACTCTGACCCCTTCAAAGTGTGACCGCTTTACCCCTTTTCTTCTAAATCTGAATTTGACGAAGAACGATTGAATTCTGCTTTTCCGGAATTTCTGATTCTTTGATTATGCTCCAATTCCGATGAGATAGAGAACAACACTACTAAATCACTCTTGTGTTTATGTGTGTGCTCTCAAAAATAAAATAAAAAAAAATAGATTGATTTTCTGAATAAAAATATCTCTCAAAGATGGCTTTCAATAAATCTAAATTTTGTATGCAAAAGCCGTGTCTCTAAAAATATATCTCTAAAGGCTTTCTCAAAATATATAATTGATGTTCTTTAAAGTCATGAATAAACCTAGATGACTAACAAGGTTTATATAGAGTTTAGAATGTCCTAATGCCTCTGAAAATATATAAAATTTCGTGAATAGGACTTGGAAAGAAATCTAGTCCAAAAAGGAATCAAACAAAATAAGGAAACTGAAGTTCTAAGGCTATCAAGACTTCTTGAACCGGTTCAGGAATTTGGGAACGGTTCAAGATGGTCAGAAGGTATTTTGAAGGCTTCCTTTGACTCTTGAACTGGTTCAGGAATTTGGGAACCGGTTCAAGATTTCTAGTTTTGAATTTTTCTAATTCTGCTGATGTTGAACCAGTTTAGGAATATGAGAACCAGTTTAAGATGGACAGAATGTAAAATCTTCCTTAAAAACTTCCAAACTCTTCCAAAATGTTCTCACTTCCTCTCCAAACTTCCTAAAGCATTGTTCTCATCATCCCGGAGTGTAGTTGTAACGACCCTAAAATGATACTAATTATATATATATATATATATATATATATATATATATATATATATATATATAATCGGCATGACATCTGCTAAAAAGGGTCTTACAATAACCTGCTTAGATGCATAAAATTGCAATGGCCTCTCTTGGATCTTAAAAATATATCTAGCCTGTCCCAACACACAATGCAAACAATACATTTCAACATTCCTTTCATCTATTCATTATGCTTCAACATAATTCAGCTCATAGTGGAACAACCACATTCCATCTAATCCAAATATCACAATTACAGTCCAAAAAATATATGGTTAAGATCTAAAGTCCATATCTTACAACGTTTAGACAACTTATACTAAAATTACAGCCTATAAATATAATTACAATAACAAAAGTCCACAAATGTCTATTCCAAATATAACAAACTAAGGTTTTACAAAAAAATATGGGACTTAATACAAAAATAGCAAAATGGTTTTCTAATCTAAATTAGGCCTGTGGTGAAACGTAATCTGCCACTTCTTTCCCGTTTTCTGAAAAAAAATGTTAAATAATGGGGTAAGCATAAAACGCAGTAGGAGGTGCCTAAGGCACACCTCTTGAGACCCCATAAATCCAAGCAATGAATAAAAACAAAGTAATTGGGGACATTGTATGCTGGGGAAAATAGCCACAATATCACATTTATAAACCAAGTTATGAATGGATATGCTATGCAATGGGTGCAATGTCATGCAATGTAGCTCCCCATTTTCCAAAACCATTTCCATCATTATTTCCAAACCGTTAGTGAAACCCATCCCATGGTGACCCCATGGTGGCACGAGAGGAGGATTGGCTACTGTTCATGACCCATGGTAACCCCATTGCGTCATTTAGGGCCCAGATAACTCAACCACGCTAAGGAAATCTCTCTAATCCCCTCTAGGCCTCACTAACACCACGGCCATTAGGTAACCCCTAAGCGACCGGGTTTTCGTAACAAAAAAAAAAAAAATCCTCTTCAAAATCTCTTTCCAAAAATCCATTTCATTTCTTTCAAATCAATTTTTTTCCATTCTTTCCCAATGAATGCATATATGTCTTATGCATTTCAATACCATGCCAGTAAAGAAATTTTTATTCCTTACAAGTCAAATATTTACAATATACATGCCTCATAGAAATATTCTAGAAATTTACATCATACTTCAAAATCATAAAATTCAGCATTTTAAAGCACAATAGGCATGAAATTTAACATCACTTTACATGGTTCTTTATCACATAACAACTAACATATATATACACATCTCATATACAACACATAACAAATATTGCATGAAGTATACACCAATTGAGCATATTATAACACAAATTATGAAAAATAATTCGCCAAAATTTTAAAAGATTGTGAATTAAACACTCCTACCTCACTTAGATGCAAAACCCCCAATTTTGTGCTATAAATTTCGAAATCCAAGGATGCTCCAAATTGAAATCAGCTCCAATCAAAATGAAGGCCTCAACTAGCTTATCAAATTTGCCTTAAGTAGCAAATCAAATTCACAAAGTGGAAGAGAGATCAAGCTTAATTGATGTGGAAAAGAAAAAAAAAAAAAAGAAAAAAAAGAAAAAAAAAAAAAAGAGGACCATGAGAGAGAGAGAGCTGTCGCGTACAGAGAGAGAAACTAAATGAAAAAAATGTGTCTTGGTCACTTATGATAAGGGTGGGCACCACCAAATTTTCCATTTAATACATATATATATATATATATATAAAATAAAGCATAACATTACATTTTCCCCAACTCTAAAAGATTTCGTCCCCAAAATCAAGCCATACCTGAGGGAGAAAATAATTCTGGATACTTGGAGCGAACCTCCTATTTAAGCTCCCAAGTAGCCTCCTTCACGCCGTGATGCCTCCATAGAACCTTTACCAATGATATCTTCTTGTTCCTCAACACCTTCTGCTGTGTGTCAAGGATCTAAACTGGTCCCTCCTCATAAGAAACATCCTCATCAAAGTCCACATCAACCCAACTCAAAATGTGAGATGGATTCGGCTTGTACTTCCGTAGCATCGATATATGAAAGACATTATGGACTCTGTCAATCTGCGGTGGCAAAGCAAATCTGTAGGCAACCTCTCTTACCCAGTCCAAGATCTCAAAAGGTCCAATGAATCGTGGCGATAACTTGCCATTCTTTCCGAATCTCATTAACCCCTTCCGTGGAGAAACTAGAAGAAAAATGTGGTCTCCCACCTCAAAGGATAGCGGCCATCTCCGCCTATCCACATAACTCTTTTGTCGGCTCTGATTTGTAAGCAATCTCTGCCTGATCAACTTAATCTTCGCGGTAGTCTCGAGTACAATGTTGAGTCCTGAGGCGGCTGTCTTGCCCACCTCAGTCTAACAAAATGGAGACTTACAAGGTCTGCCATACAATGCCTCAAATGGAGCCATCTGAATATTTGCCTGATAACTGTTGTTGCAGGCAAACTCAATAAGTGGAAGGTGATCCTCCTAACTGCCCCCCCAAATCAAGTACACATGCCCGAAGCAAATCCTCTAAGATTTGGATAATGCGCTCCGACTGGCCGTCCGTCTGTGGATGAAATGCGGTACTCAGATGCAATGCTGAACCAAACACTGCTTGAAGTCCTTCTCAGAACTTTGAAATGAACTTGGCATCCCTGTCCGAAACAATAGTTACTGGAACTCCATGCAACCTTACAATCTCCTTTACATAAAAAGCACCAAGTGCCTCCACATCATCTGTTGCCTTAATAGGCAAAAAGTGAGCCGTCTTGGTTAATTTATCAATAATGATCCACACGGCTTCATTTCCCCTTCGTGATCTAGGAAGACTTGTCACGAAATCCATAGTAATCTACTCCCATTTCCACTGCGCTATAGGTAATGGTTGCAACAAACCGGTTAGTCTCTGATGCTCAACGTTCACCTATTGACAGGTAAGGCATCTAGTTACAAACTATGCAACATTTTTCTTCATTCCATTCCACCAATACTGACGTCTCAGATTGTGATACATTTTAGTACCACCTGGATGAACTGCAAAGCGAGAAGTGTGGAACTCTCGTAAGATGTCCTCATGACATCCTGTGGAAACAACCAAGAAACCCTTGAACAGTAGACCTCTATCGGTATGCAAAGTCCAATCCTTCACGGTCTCGCCACTAGTGATCAAAGTGTGAATGGTATCTAAATCTGAACCCTGTCTCTGTGACTCAATCACTCGTCCAACAAGAGTAGGCTGAGCCACGAGACTAAACAAGAATGCCGACTCACTGCCATCGTCATCATAGCAACACAATCCTATCTCTGCTAAGTCTTCAAGCATCTTCTACTTCCGAATGGCTAAACTAGCCAAAGTCCCATGAGATTTCCAGCTTAAAGCGTTAGCTACTACATTTACCTTACCCGGATGATACTACAAATCAAAGTTATAATCTTCCAAGAACTCAACCCATCGCCTCTGTCTGTTGTTCAAGTTCTTTTGGGAGAAAAGGTACTTGAGACTTTTATGATCCGAGTACACCTCAAATCTCTCACCATACAAGTAATGTCTCCAACACTTCAAGACAAATATAACTGCCGCTAACTTTAAATCATGAGTAGGGTAGTTAAGCTCGTGAGTCTTCAACTGTCGAGACCCATAAGCCACCACTCTACCATCCTGCATCAACACATATTCTAAACCATCACATGAAGCGTCGCAATAAATCACGTAATCTAAGCCATGCTTAAGTATTACCAACACTGGAACCGTAGTCAACCTTGTCTTCAATTCTTGAAAGAATGACTCACAGGCTTCATTCCATGCAAACTTAATCCCTTTTCGGGTCAAACGGGTCATAAGCGCTGCCAAGCGAGAAAAATCCTTCACAAATCTTCGGTAGTAACTCGCTAAACCAAGAAAACTGCGGATTTTAAACATATTCTTGGGTTGCTCCCAATTCAGAATTGCCTCTATCTTTGATGGATCAACCGATACTATACCTTCTAAAACAATATGCCCCCAAAACTTCACCTTTTGTATCCAAAACTCACACTTCTCATATTTGGCATACAATCAGTGCTTCCATAAAATCTACAATACAATACTTAAATGGATCTCGTGCTCCTCTCGAGATCGTGAATACACAAGAATATCATCCATGAAAATTACCACAAACTGGTCCAAGTAATCGTGAAAGACGCGGTTCATCAAGTCCATGAATGTTGCTAGAGCATTAGTCAAGCCAAAAGGCATAACAATGAATTCATAATGTCTATACCGTATACGGACGCTGTCTTTGGGATATCCTCATCCCTAATCCGCAACTGATAATATCCTGACCTCAAGTCAATCTTTGAAAAATAACTGGCTCCCCTCAACTAATCAAACAAATCATCTATCCTTGGCAAAGGATACTTGTCCTTGATGGTGGCATGATTCAACTTCCGGTAATCAATGCATAACCTCAAAGAACCGTTTTTCTTCTTAGTAAATAAGATCGGTGCGCCCCACGGTGACACACTTGGTCAGATGAAACTTTTCATCCTTAAATCATCAAGCTGCCTCTTTAATTCTTCCAATTCAACTAGTGCCATACGATACGGTGCCATAGAAATCGGCGCGGTACCAGACATCAAATCAATAGTGAACTTCATTTTTCAGTGTGGAGGCAACTCTGTCAAATCCTCTGGAAACACATCCAGAAAATCACAAACAACTGCAGGATAATCTTCTTTCACAACATCATCTTCTTCTGCTAGAAGACTAGCCAAGAAGTAATCACCACGACTCCGTCGACGAATTCCATATAATGATGAAGGTTGGGAATTGCTTTGATCTCCCATGAAAAAGAAACAGTCTCCTTCAGGAATGTAAACTATGACTCTACCTCTAAAACAGTAGATCGTGGCACGAAAGGAAGCTAACCAATCCATCCCGAGAATGACATCAAAGTTAGTCATCTCTAGGAGGATAAGGTCAAACACAAAAGTTCGCCCGGCTATCACAATGGAACAATCCCTCACAACTCGGCTCAAGGACGCTGAAACCCCAACTGACGTATCAACACATAACGCCCGATCCATGAAACTGACCTCTAACCCTGATGCAAGTGCAAATGATGATGAAATGAAGGAATGAGATGCACTAGAGTTAAATAAAACATAGGCCCAGAAGATGCATCGGCCTGTGCAAGTGCAAAAACACGTCCATGTGGTGTCTGTGCCTGAGAACTGCTAACCTGAACACCTGACTGCTACATTGACATAGTAGGAGTATCCCTCCTAATTGGCCGTGAACCCTAAGAAGACATGACAGGCTGTGGTGGTAGTGGTCTAAAACCTGACTGAACTGTAGCCGACTGTGACGGCCTCTGTTGTGACCTTCTGCCACTACCGGTGCTTACTTCCCGACTAGGACAATCCCGAATCAGATGGCCCTACTGGCCACACCCACAACAAGCTCTAGACGAGTTCATAGGACATTTGGACTTATAATATCCAGGCTGCTGACACTGATAACAAACAACCCCACTCTTATCTGACCCAGCTGGCTTAGGAATAGTAGAATTTGGTCGTGCTGACTGTTCCTCTTCTGTGATACCCCCTAATTTTGGAACACGGGTTGATCAGGTCCGCGCATAAAACCAGGGGATATCAGCCAATCAATAATAAACAAGCACAGAATACAAGAGGAATAAAAATTAAATAAATAACGCTGAAAGAGAAATCTAAATTAATAATTAAATAATAAATCCTCTAATACATTAATCTCCAATAAATTTTCATTATAAGAATAAAACCTCCAGAGTACAACTTGGGAATCCATACAAGGTGGACCCTTAATAAAAATCCGAACTAAAAACGAAATATATAAATGTCCAACTTAGAAATAATAAATAGTAATAAAAACATAGTGGAGGTCCTACGTCTATGACACCGGAAGAGTGATGAAGTCTGGCCTTTGTTCTGCACGAACTAACTTTACCCTTGGAACTGACGAGGACCTGAAAAGATAACAACAAAGGTGGTTCAAAACCCACGAACAAGCCCTTTCTACTACATCCCAAATAGAGACTCGATAAACGATCCATCCTAGTTTAACTCATGCAATAGCTATGTAGGTCAATATACATAAGTGTACACACTATAGACTCTCACTAAATCATAAGACAGCCTCTACCAGATAGTAGGTCTCATGCAAGTGCACACAAGGTGGTCACGAGTACCTCTTCTACTAGGGCACACACATCTCTAGATCCAGCTACCCATCTCATCTAGCAATATACGCCAATCCTACCCATCGATCACGAGATCTCAAACTCGTATCATGGTACCTAATAAAAATATATTTATGTAAGTAAATGTAGCCATATCCTGATAATGGTACAATTTAAGGTCACTACTATATCCTAACAATAGTATGACCAAAACATATGGGTCTAGACTTATTAGTCAGCCCGTATGTATCAGCAAACCATATCCTGACAATGGTGCTTCTAAGACCATATCCTGACAATGGTCCTCTATCATACACGTATACACAAGTATACATAAGTTCTTACATCCATTGTCTCATTCATGATTATTGTCATTTTAAATTCTGTAGCAATTGCTATAACAAACTAATCACAAATATTATGCGAGTAACTTGCAACTCAAGTAAAACCTTAACTACCAGCATATATACATGATAATTAACATACATTCCTCTGAAAATCATAGACATAACTTGTAAACTTCTAACAGCGATATACGAACAAATAATTGGTAGTGCAAGAAAGGTTATATTCCCTAACACATGCAAGATTAATACCACATAATAATCTCTACAATAAATAATGCATCCTTATAGTATTTGATAGATGATTATCTACATAATTTGCAACTTTAGTAGGATTCCATTAAACTGTCATACTATTATCTGTAATAAATGTTACGACGAAAATCAAAACTAGCAACTTACATACCAAGTAAAGCTTATCCTATATCCCACCCTAGCATATAACAATTTAATGAGATCTATCAACTTATTTCCCCAAAGTTAAATGCTGTAAGTCCAAATCCCACGAAAAAATATAATAATAATTATAATCATAAATAAATAAAATAACCAACCAACATATAATAATTTAATACATCCAAAAACTTAAATAAACACCCACTATTAAATGCCTAAAGGAAATACTACCTAACATCACTAAGTCGGCAAAACCGACTTGAAGGCCTGTACATCCCTATTAGCTTCTTCACCAACATCTGGTTCTACACACTCTTAAAACTCCATAGCTAAGGTCTCTAAGACTTGTAACCAAGTCACAGTGACCCAACAATTTATGAATATACCAACTAAAATTCAAGAATCTTGCAAGAACAACAACTAAAGTCATAGAAGTAATTAAGTAGAAGAAAATTATGCCGTAATGACCCGATTAATTCTTGCAATCAAAAAAATTTCTTTTATTATTATTATTTTTTTTAACACTAGAATCATTCTAGAGATGGTCCGAACATGAAGCCAAAGAGAGTGAATAGAATAAGGACTTGCCTTAGAGTTTCGGGTCGAAACTCTTCACCGTTCGTCTCTGATTTCCTTTGACACCGGCGGCCTTCGGGTCGCCGTTAACCATCCTTGCTACTCCAGTTATCGCTTACAACAACCTCCCTCCTACGCCTCTTGTTTTGGCCTCACAAGTTCCTTCTCTTCTTCTCTTTCTTTTTTCTCTTTTCTCCCTTTCTTTTCTCTCTTGTTCGCCACTGTCTCTGTAATATCCTCTCTGTTTCGTGACTTCCTCAATGCCCAGATTTATATTACTTTACCTTATATATATAAATAGAATATAATACTAACCTATTTTAATGTACCCACAGCTATCTGACTCCAAAAACCTATAACAATTAAAAACCTATACTAATACCTATCTGCCATCTAAAGCTAATAGTTTAATAATTGCAAAAAATACAAATAACAAATGTTAAATAATACTATTAAAGATACCTTTATTTACCTTAATAGTACTTGGTGCTTATATACCTAATATATATACACATGCATCCGTATATATATTATGACGTTTCCGATTTTTGTCATTTTTCTTTTTTTTTGAAAAAAAAAAAAAAAATTGTCGCCGCAAGGGCATTTTCATCTTTTCACGTTTGCGTATGGGATTGTGGTTGGGTCCAATTGCATATTGTACATTTTTATTTATGTGGATCAAGTGGTATTTGTATGTGGTGCATTAATGTGTATGAAGTGTAAAATGGAGACATAAAGAAAAAGAGATAATAAAAGAAAATTTTGTGGGGCCCGCCACTAATCCCACATGTGGCTAGAGACCATTTTTTTTAGTCTTTCATTTCTCTCCTCCCGTCCATTTCTCTCTCTTTCTCATTTCTTTTTCATTTTCTTCTCTTTTGGCTTCAAATTTTGATCTTTGATTTCTCACTCCACACTTAGTGATTTTGAGTGCCGTTTGAGGCGAAATGGAGAGCACGGCGAGCTCTACGCTTTGATATCAACAATTTCAACTTTGAGCCTCCCCTTGGCCTTCAAAAATTTGAACCCATTTTAAGGATTTTGCTCTAAATCAAGGTAGGGGTTCTTAATCCACGAAGTTCTTGCGCTTTAGTGAATTAATCTACTTGAATTGTGCCTTAGCATGCTTAATTACTTTGATTTTAGTTTAAAATGACTTAATTAAGAATATGTGAATTTATGTGAATGTGTATTAAATTGATTGAATAAAAGCATGCTATATGTTGAGTTTTGTGTTCATTGTGTTGCCAATATACTATGAATGATGTATGAAGGACATGCCTAAGTGTTGAATTTATAATTCCGTTATGCTATATTTCTATTGTGTTAAAGCATGTTGTATACTCTTTGGGGAATTCTTGTGAATGTATGCTTTGATGACTAAATTTGAGCTAGTTGTGAGATAATGATTATGCACATGACATTAGTGCATTTATGCATACCATTGGGTTTGCATGAAATGGGAGAAATTGCTTTTGAAACGAAATGGGAAGTTTTGGGAAAGAATGTATTGATACAAGTATTTTGATAAAACCCGGTCGCTGCGGAGTCACCAACGGGCCGGTAGGCTAATGTAACCTAGAGGGAATTAGGGAGATTGCCCTAGCGTAGTTGAGCTATCTGGGCCTCATAATGACGCTGCGGAGTCACCAATGGTCAGGGACAGTAGCCAATCTTTCTCTCGGCGCTACGGAGTCACCAAAGGGGGTTACATTAACAGTTTGGAAAGTGATGGATGAATGGTTTTGAAAATGGGGAGTGACATTGACATGCATTGCATTCCATTGCATTATATTGTTAATGTTGAGCTTGGATACGATGTTGTATTTTCCCGACTTTGTATGACCCTGATTCCTATCACTCTATTCTTTACTTGGATTCACGGGGACACAAAAGACGTGTCTTGAGTGTCACCTACTGAGCATATTGCTCACGCCATCATATTTTACATTTTTCAGGTCATGGAAAAGAAGTAGCCGATGGTAATCCCACTCAGCCTTAGCTTGGAGTAGGAAATGTCTTTTTGCTAGCTTTTGTAATTGGACTTAATTTTGTAAAGATGTAGACTCAAAATGCATCATTTTTGCAACATGTAAAATATTTGGATTTATTGTGTATATGGCCATTGGGCAATGTAATTAAGTTTTACTCACTCAAAATCAATTGGTGTATTTTTAAGTAACGTGGGGCAAATTACGTTATTTCGTTGTTGTTATTATTATATTAGATGTTGGAAGGTATTGAAAATGACACGTAAGTGTAGTGGCGTGGGTAGTTGAATTACCAAAAGTTGGTGTTTATGGGTTACACAGGACAGTGGGAAGTGGAAGTGAAAATTTCCCAGAACCGGTCGACGTGTGGCTTCCTAAACGTCGACCGGTATCTTCATAGTGAGTGGTTGTTGCACATAACCCAAACCAATTGACGTATGGCTTCCCATACGTCGACCGGCATCACGTCCCAAACCAGTTGACGTATGCCTCCCCATACGTCGACTAGTATCTCGGCAGTGGGTATTTCCACTGTTCATAACCCAAACCAGTCGACGTATAGTGTACATACGTTGACTGGTTTCTGCCTTTTAATTAAACTAAATTTTAGTTTTCCAAATTACACTTTGGTACCCAATAAATGTTGCACGTATTTATTTTATGGCCCAATAAAGTGCAATAATTATATTTTAACCACCGAAAGGACTATATTGCCCCGAACTTTATTTTATTTATTATGTGATCTAAATTAATGACCATTATACCCTTTGAGTCTCAAATTATTGAATCGTGGCAAATTACCATTTTGTCCTTTTTGGACCATGATATTTAAATTTAAGGTGAAATTACCGTATTACCCTCGGATAATTTTGGGTCAGGAAAGGACCCGTTTAATGATCCGGATCCATGAGGAGCAGGGTCGTTACATATGTCTTATATATATATATATATATATATATATATATATATATATATATATAACACATTAATGTAGTTTATATATTTATTTATATATATCTATATATAACTACCCATCCATACAACTAACTAAAAATAAATAAAATAACATCAAAAGAAAATTTACAATTAACTAAAACATCTATACTAAATAATTAATAATTAATTAAAAAAATAACAAATAACTACACACTCCAAAAACAATTCAAATAGCCAAGAAAATAAAAATAAAATAAAATAACACTAAATACTTAACATATAAATGACAAATAAATTAAAACCCTAAAACAAATAATTAACAATTCAAATAGCCACGTAGATAAATAAAATGAAATAAAATAAATAAATTACACCTTTAAAATTAGGGGTATTACATTCTTCTCCCCTAACAAAAGGAATTCCGTCCTCAGAATTCACCTTTTTCCTTATTTCGGTAATTCTGGAAATTTTGAACGGATAACATCTTCCCGTTCCTAAGTGGACTCGGCCTCATTAGGATGGCTCCACTGTACACGCACAAGAGGAATAGTCTTCTTGTGAAGCACCGATCACAACGATCAAGAATACGACACGGTGGCTCATCATACGTCGCATCCGGCTACGACTTAATCTCGCCAACATCTATATGCTAATAGCGATCCTCATCTCGCAGAAATTTTCGCAACATGGATACATGGAAGACATTATGGACCTAATGTAGATGATCCGGAAGTGCTAACCGTAAGCTAAAGGTCCCACTTGATCCGTAATCATAAAAGGACCGATAAAATGCGGTGACAACTTCCCCTTCTTCCCAAAGCGCATTACGCCTTTCATGGGAGACACTTTGAGCAACACCTGATCCCCCACCTGAAACTCTAAACTGCAAGTACGAGAATCTGCATAACTCTTCTGCCTACTCTGGGCAGTGCGCATACGGTCACGAATAAGAGCAATCTTCTCAGAGGTATCCTTAATAAATTTAAGACCTAGAAATTTGCTCTCACCGACCTCTAACCAACAAATAGGAGATCGACATGGTCAGCCGTACAATGCCTCAAACGGTGCCATACCAATAGTCTTCTGAGAACTATTGTTGTAGGCAAACTCTGCAAGTGGCAAATAATTTTCCTAGGTGCCCTTAAAATCAAGGACACAGGAACGAACCATATCCTCCATGATTTGATTGACCCTCTTGGTCTGCCCATCAGTCTGAGGATAATAATCAGTACTAAGATGGGTACCTAAAGCTTACTGGAAACTCCCCCAAAATCCCGATACAAAGCTCGGATCCCTGTCTGATATAATAGACATCGGTATACCATGCAACTTCATAATCTCTGCAATATAAAGCCTCGCCAACTATTCTAAAGTGAAATCAGTGCGTATAGGCAAGAAATGAGCTGATTTGGTCAACCTATCAACAATGAACCAAATAGAATTGTGATTCCTGTTGGAATTGGGTAATCCCTTAATAAAATCCATAGAGATACTCTCCCATTTCCACTCCGGTATAGGAAGTGGCTGCAAAGAACCAGGCGGTCTCTGATGATCAATCTTAACCATCTGACAGGTACTACATTTGGAGACAAAGATGGCTATGTCCCTCTTCATACCTGCCCACCAAAACTATCACTTCATATCTTGATACATCTTATCTCTACCGGGGTTGGATAGAGAACTTAGATTTATGAACCTCCGTTATCACATCTTTTCTTAAATCATCAGCAGAAGGTACTACTAGGTGTCCTTTATACCTTAAGCCTCTATCTGCCCTGACAGAGTAAAATGGAACATCACCAGAAGCTAACTCCGTAACTCTATCAATGCACTGCTGATCCATAAGTTGTGCCTTTAGTACTTTATGGATGATAGTAGGTGTAATTGCTATCCATGACACAAAAGCATCAGACAACTCATCTACAGTCTTCAAAGCATTCCATTCTGTAGCAAACATTGCAGAAAAACTGGCATTAGGTCGGCGACTGAGTGCATCTGCCACTACATTCGCTTTCCCTAGGTGATACTGTATAGAGAAGTGGTAATCTTTCATAAACTCCAACCACCTACATTGTCTCATATTCAACTCCTTCTGCGTGAAGAGGTACTGCAAACTCTTATGGTCACTGAATAGTCTGAAAGACTCCCCCAACAGATAATGCCTCCAAATGCAAAAGGCAAAGACTACAGCTGCTAACTCTAAATCGTGCGTCGGATAGTTAAGCTCATGAGACATAAGCTTATGAGACCCATAAGAAACCAGTCGCTCCTCCTGCATTAAAACACATCCCAGACCCTGCAAAGAAGCATCTGTGTAGATAAGATACTCTATCCCACTCTGGGGAGTAACTAGAACAAGTGCAGAAGTCAACTTACTCTTCAATATGTCAAATGCAGTCTGACAATGCTTATCCCAGATAAACAGTACCCCCTTCTTAGTCAGATGGGTGAGTGGTCCTGCTATCTTGGAAAACCCCTAGATGAATCTACGATAATATCCGGCCAGTCCCAGAAAACAGCAAATCTCAATGGGTGAGGTAGGTTATCCCCACACTAAAACAGCTGAGACCTTGGCTAGATCCACCGTTATTCCCTTTTTTTACACCACGTGACCCAAAAATTTTACTTCTTATTGCCAAAAGTCACACTTTTCAAACTTGGCATACAACTGATGCTCACGAAGTGTTTGTAACACTATGCGAAGATGTCTAGCATGGTCCTCCTCTGACTTAGAATAAACCAAAATATCATCAATGAAAATAATGACGAACTGATCTAAGTAAGCCCTGAAGACCCTGTTCATCAAATCCATAAAGACAGCTCGCGCATTAGTCAACCCAAAAGGCATAACCCAAATTTCATAAGATCCATATCTAGTTAGAAATGTTGTCTTAGGAACATCATGCTCCCTAACTCGAAGCTGATGATAGCCAGATCGCAAATCAATCTTGGAGAAGTATGTAGCTCCCTTCAACTGATCAAATAAGTCATCGATCCTGGGTAAAGGATACTTGTTACGAATAGTAACCTTGTTCAATTCCCTGTAATCTACTGTAATGACCCACTCCACAACATGGTATGATATTGTCCGCTTTGGCTGGGTTGTTACATCTACTGCTCCAAATCAGCCTCATTTTACTCCAGATTCTCTCCAAGACTTAGTTTGACTCCAAAAAGGTATTAAGAAACCATTTTTAGCACGTTTTAACATTATTGACCTAAAAAGGGAAATAACACGAAATTAGTATAAAACGGGAAAATAAGATAGATAAAAGTTCTAGAATACTCGAGCTTAAGGGGTTTAAAAGTGCACTTTTCAGTTCTCATCATCTATACACAGGCGAAATGAGCCATCCTTCTTCTTCACAAACAACACTGGTGCTCCCCAAGGTAAAGTACTTCTACGAATGAAACCCTGGCTAAGAAGTTGCTGAATCTGATCCTTCAGCTCCCGCATTTCCATTGGTGCCATCCTGTATAGTGCCCTGACAATAAGTGTAGTACCTGGAGCTAAATCAATCATGAAGTCTATCTCTCGACTCGGTGGCAACCCTAGAATCTCTTGAAATATATCTGAAAATTCCTGTACAATCGGTATACTATCCAGTGCTACAGTAATTTCCTCTGCAGACTCTTCCTCAATATACAATAAATGAGTGCTCGATCTCCCGTTAGAATGTGGCATAGCAAAAATATATATATCCTGACACGGTATAACAAATACAATAGACTTATCGTGACAATTAACCTGAGCATGGTAATGAGATAACCAATCCATCACAAGTATCACATCATAAGAATGCATGTCCAAGACCAATAGGTTGACTAGAAATCTAAGTTTACCAATATCTAGTGTCACAAGCCCATCACTTTCATGCAAAATAGAAGTAACACCTTATAGGTGTACCAATGCTACGTGATCAATCACATAACTGTGTAGTTATCCTAGATAAGGCAACAAATATACTGGGTACAAATGAATGTGCAGTATCTGTACCAAACAAAATATGCCCATATCTACCGTGTACAGGAAACATACCCTCAATAGCCTAAAGAGTCTGAACGTCCTGTGGCATATGGTTATACACCCTGCCAAAATGCAACTATTGTGGTGCCTGTCCCCGAGCCAGGAATTCCTATCCTTGATGAGCCATTGCCACATCGGTGGAGCCTGAGAACTCAGGTGGGCTTCCCTTTGTGAAAAAAACTCTTAACCTTTTCCCAAGAATTAGCCTGAATTACCGGTACTGGTACAGGTGTCTGCTGAACATGTGGTTAATTTTGAAGTACAGCTACTACGCCTGTTACTACAGTCTGAACAATGATGTTAACTAGTTGAGGAGGATACTCTAGACCTTTGCCCTGATGTTGGTCTTGATCCTGAGACTCCTGAATCTATTGCTCCTCCTCCAGAATTATAGGAACATGTTCCTCTTTCTCTTGAAACAAAGGCAATTGTTGCTCCTCTGCAATCCGCTGACGTCGTAGGAGATTCTACTGCCTACGTGGCGTTCTCCTTTGTTGCCTTATTCTCCAGACCTGCTCTCTTTCCCGTTTTCTTCCAACGTTAATCATTCAGTTAACATTGAAAGATAGATGTCAATACGTATCTAACAGACCATAAAGGAATACAATGAACCCTAAAACTTAGGCTCTAATCAAAAGACTACACTACGCGGAAGTCTTATTACGAACGAAACCCTAGATACACTTGAACCTGGAATGCTCTGATACCAACTGTGATACTCCCTAATTTTGGAACACGGGTTGATCAGGTCCGAGCACAAAACCAGGGGATATTAGCCAATCAATAATAAACAAGCACAGAATACAAGAGTAATAAAAATAAATAAATAAATAAATAACGCAAAAAGGGAAATCTAAATTAATAATTAAATAATAAATCCTCTAATACATTAATCCTCAATAAAACCTCCAGAGTACAACTTGGGAATCCATACAAGGTGGACCCCTAATAAAAATCCCAACTACTCAGAAATAATAAATAATAATAAAAACATAGTGGAGGTCCTACGTCTATGACACCGGAAGAGTGATGAAGTCTGGCCTCTATTCTGCACGAACTGAATTTACGCCTGGAACTGACGAGGACCTGAAAAGATAACAACAAAGGTGGGTCAAAACCCACGAATAAGCCCTTTCTACATCCCAAACAGAGACCCGATAAACGATCCATCTTAGTCCGACTCATGCAATAGCTATGTAGGTCAATGTATATAAGTATACACACTATAGACTCTCACTGGATCATAAGACAACCTTTACCAGATAATAGGTCTCACACAAGCACACACAAGGTGGTTACGAGTACCTCTTCTACCAGGGCACACATATCCCTAGATCCAGCTACCCATCTCATCTAGCAATATATGCCAATCCTACCCATCAATTACGAGATCTCAAGCTCGTATCATGGTACCTAATAAAAATATATTTATGTAAGTAATTGTAGCTATATCCTGACAATGGTACAATTTAAGATCAATACTATATCCTGACAATAGTATGACCAAAATGTATGGGTCTAGATTTATTAGTCAGCCCGTATGTATCAGCAAACCATATCCTGACAATGGTGCTGCTAAGATCATATCTTGACAATGGTCCTCTATCATACACGTGTACACAAGTATACATAAGTTCTTACATCCACTGTCTCATTTATGATTATTGTCATTTTAAATTCTGTAGCAATTGTTATAACAAACTAATCACAAATATTATGCAAGTAACTTGCAACTTAAGTAAAACCTTAACTACCAGCATATATACATGATAATTAACATATATTCCTCCAAAAATCATAGACATAACTTGTAAACTTCTAACAGTGATATACGAACAAATAATTGGTAGTGCAAGAAAGGTTATATTCCTTAACGCATGCAACAGTAATACCACATAATAATCTCTACAATAAATAATACATCCTTATAGTATTTGATAGATGATTATCTACATAATTTGCAACTTAAGTAGGATTCCATTAAACTATCATACTATTATTTGTAATAAATGCTACGACGAAAATCAAAACTAGCAACTTACATACCAAGTAAAGCTTATCCTACATCCCACCCCAGCGTATAACAATTTAATGAGATCTATCAACTTATTTCCCCAAAGTTAAATGTTGTAAGTCCAAATCCCACGAAAAAAATATAATAATAATAATAATCATAAATAAATAAAACAACCAACCAACATATAATAATTTAATACATCCAAAAACTTAAATAAACACCCACTGTTAAATGCCTAAAGGAAATACTACCCGACATCACTAAGTCGGCGAAGCCGACTTGAAGGCCTGTACATCCCTGTTAGCTTCTTCACCAACATCCGGTTCTACACTCCCTTAAAACCCCATAGCTAAGGTCCCTAAGACTTATAACCAAGTCATAGTGACCCAACAATTCATGAATAAACCAACTAAAATTCAAGAATCTTGCAAGAAGAACAACTAAATTCATAAAAGTAATTAAGTAAAAGAAAATTATGCCGTAATGACCTAATTAATTCTTGCAGTCAAACAAATTTCTTTTATTATTATTATTATTTTTTAACCTTAGAATCATTCTAGAGATGGACCGAACATGAAGCCAAAGAAAATGAATAGAACAAGGACTTGCCTTAGAGTTTCGAGTTGAAACTCTTCACTATTCGTCTCTGATCTCCCTTGACACTGGCGGCCTTCGGGTCGCCATTAACTATCCTTGCTACTCCGGTTATCACCTACAACAACCTCACTCCTACGCCTCTTGTTTCGGCCTCACAAGTTCTTTCTCTTATTCTCTTACTTTTTTCTCTTTTCTCTATTTCTTTTCTCTCTTGCTCGCTGTCGTCTCTGTAATATCCTCTCTGTTACGTGATTTCCTCAATGCCCAGATTTATATTACTTTACCTTATATATATAAATAGAATATAATACTAACCTACTTTAATGTACCCACAACTATCAGACTCCAAAAACCTATAATAATTAAAAACCTATACTAATACCCATCTGCCATCTAAAGCTAATAGTTTAAGAATTGAAAAAAAATACAAATAACAAATGTTAAATAATACTATTAAAGATACCTTTATTTACCTTAACATTACTTGGTGCATATATACCTAATATATATATACACATGCATTCGTTTATATATCTTTTATATATATATATATATATATATATATATATATATATATATATATAACACATTAATGCAGTTTATATATTTATTTATATATATCTATATATAACTACCCATCCATACAACTAACTAAAAATAAATAAAATTACATAAAAAGAAAATTTACAATTAACTAAAACATCTCTACTAAATAATTAATAATTAATTAAAAAAAATAACAAATAACTACACACTCCAAAAACAATTCAAATAGCCAAGTAAATAAAAATAAAATAAAATAAAATAACACTAAATACTTAACATATAAATGACAAATAAATTAAAACCCTAAAATAAATAATTAACAATTCAAATAGCCATGTAGATAAATAAAATGAAATAAAATATATAAATTACTCCTTTAAAAATTTAGGGGTATTACATCTTCCATGAAGGTCCCTCCGAAGATGATCATGCATTCCTCTTTTACTTCCACTATTACCTTCTTGCATCTTTATCTTTGGCCTCCGCCTCTAGCATCAATGCTCTTTCCACTGCCTTAGAATAAACCTTGATGCACTGTGCCGTTATCAGCGGCCTCATTTTGTAATCAAGCCCGGAAACAAATTTCCTAGTCTTTTCAACTTTATTGCTCACCATCTCTAGAGCAAAGCAAAAGAGAGAGGTGAACTTATTCTTGTACTCTATCACTGACATATTGCCTTGGATAATGCCATTAAACTGGTCCCTTAGTTCCCACCTCTTGGGAGCAGGGAAATACTTCTCATAGAACAACTCTTTGAACCTATCACAACCCATCTCTTCAATCTTATACTGATTTGTGATCGACTTCTACCAAAACTTGGCATCCTTTGAAAATTTGTAAGTGGCTAGGATGATTTTGAAATGATCATCCGTCACATCCATAGAAGTCAAATGGGTTTCCACTTGGTCCATGTAGTCGTCCGCTACTATTGGATCTGCACCACCCTCAAACATCTTTGGTACCGGCTGCGGATGAGTAGCAATTGTAGCCCTCAAGGCTCTCTGCAACAAACGGTTTAGTGCCAAATCAGCCAAACCTTCGCCTTCTTTAATGGGCATCTCAACATCATTCCTTCTAGTGGAAACACCTCTTGGGGTAATCAAATCCCTAAGAATTGTATTTTCTTCATTTTGCTCCGCCGGATTGGAGCTAGAGCTTTCTCTAACATCGCCTCTTGTCGGCAAAAAGTCAACACCTCTAGGTTCCGTTCACGGCGGCATCGTACTATAAAACAAAAAAAACAGTTCAATAACGATAACACTAAGGTCTAACCGTGAACAACTCAACATAAAAGGATACCGCACAAACACTTAGCATGCAAAACTATGCAATAAGCACATTAGTATAAACATATAAATACGTAAGCAAGTAAACAAGTAAACAGTTAAGCATGCTTTTCAAATAACAAAACACCTTAGGAAATAGTCACATAACAAGTAAATGACTCCTTGAACCATTGCTCTGATAACGACCCTAAAATGATACTAATTATATATATATATATAAAAATTTCGGCATGACCTCTGCTAAAAAGGGTCCTACAACAACCTACTTAGATGCATAAAAATGCAATAGCCTCTCTTGGACCTTAAAAATATATCTAACATGTCCCAATACACAATGCAAATAATACATTTTAACATTCCTTTCATCTATTCATTATGCTTCAACATAGTTCAGCTCATGGTGGAACAACTATATGCCATCTAATCCAAATATCACAATTACAGTCCCAAAAATATATGGTTAAGATCTAAAGTCCATGTCTTACAACGTTTAGACAACTTATACTAAATTTACAGCCCATAAATATAATTACAATAATAAGAGTCCACAAATCTCTATACCGAATATAACAAACTAAGGTTTTACAAAAAAATATGGGACTTAATACAAAAATAGCAAAATGGTCTTCTAATCCAAATTAGGCCTGTGGTGGAACGTCATCCACCACTTCTTTCCCATTTCCTGAAAAAAAATGTTAAATATTAGGGTGAACATAAAGCTCAGTAAGAGTTGCCTAAAGCACACCTCTTGAGACCTCGTGAATCCAAACAATGAATAGAAACAAAGTAATTGGGGATATTGTATGCCAGGGAAAAATAACCACAATATCACATTTATAAACCAAGTCATGAATGGATATGCCATGCAATGGGTGCAATGTCATGCAATGTCGCTCCCAATTTTTCAAAACCATTTCCATCATTATTTCCAAACCGTTAGTGAAACCCATCCCATGGTGACCCCATGGCTGCACGAAAGGAGGATTGGCTACTGTCCCTGACCCATGGTAACCCCGTGGCGTCATTTGGGGCCCAAATAACTCAACCACGTTAAGGAAATCTCCCTAGTCCCCTCTAGGCCTCACTAACACCACGGCCCTTAGGTAAGCTCTAGGTGACTGGGTTTTCGCAAAAAAAAAAAAAAAAAAAAAAAAAAAAAAAAAAAAATCCTCTTCAAAACCTTTTTCCAAAAATCCATTTCATTTCTTTCAAATCAATTTTTTTCTATTCTTACCCAATGAATGCATATATGTCTTATGCATCTTAATGCCATGCCAATAAAGAAATTTTTATTCCTTACAAGTCAAATATTTACAATATACATGCCTCATAGAAATATTCTAAAAATTTACATCATGCTTCAAAATCATAAAATTCGGCATTTTAAAACACAATAGACATTAAATTTAATATCACTTTAACATGGTTCTTTATCACATAACAACTAACATATATATACACATCTCATATACAACACATAACAAATATTGCATGAAGTATACACCAATTGAGCATATTATAACACAAATTATGAAAAATAATTCACCAAAATCTAAGAGATTGTGGATTAAATGCTCCTACCTCACTCAGATGCCAAACCCCCAATTTTCTGCTCTAAATTTCAAAATCCAAGGATGCTCCAAATTGAAATCAGCTCCAATCAAAATGAAGGCCTCAACTAGCTTATCAAATTTGCCTTAAGTGGCAAATCAAATTCCCAAAATGGAAGAGAGATCAAGCTTAATTGATGTGGAAAAGAAAAAGAAAAAAAAAAAAAAAAAAAAAAAAAAACCAGTGATAGAGAGAGAGAGAGCTGTCGCGTATAGAGAGAGACTGAATGAAAAAAATGGGTCTTGGTCACTTATGATAAGGGTGGGCTCCACCAGCTTTTTCATTTAATATATATATATATATATAATAAAGCATAACATTACAGTAGTATACCATGAACACTTGAACTTCTTCAAATCCGCATTTGATCTTCAAGCTTGAAATTGTAAACTGGAAAATTACAACTCGATCGGACTTGTTTTGATAACAAAATTAACCAATATACAATATATATATTTTTCACAATCTCATCAAAATATATATATTTCACAATCTCTCCCTTTGGCAATTTCGTGACAAAACCGTAAAAGCATGTAATCTACCCAAGCAGAAAAGGCAAATTACAATGATTGTCAAAGAAATAAAACGCAACTTTTCTTGAACCTCATGAAGCTTCAACACATGTAGTGTCTAATAACCTAAAAAATAAATCATGGGTTAGACCCACGAGCAAGTTTCCTCTACCAAACCTCTGAAAACCGATAAATAAAACACCTCTAACTAAAATCATCCTAATTAAAATTTTAACCTTTAATATAAGATGATACATATATATATTATATATAAATACATAAAGAATAAGGTCATTAATATATTCCTTGAAATCTAAGACTATAAATAATGATAAAACTACCTCCATATTTAAACTAACAATCAAATACATTTCCCTTTTAAGAGAAAATTCCTTTAAACTTAAACTCTATTTTTAAACAGTTATTTAACCATTTAAATAATAAATAATAATTTAAGAAATATTTTCCTTCAATCCAAATCCCAATATCCACCAATGTATGATTTTATTTATAAAGATTATAACGAACAGGTCATTTGCCTTCCTTTCCTCTTTCCTGAAATTTTACGAATGAATTTTTTTCGTTTAATTTTCTTTTCTGAGCTCTGTTTCGTGTCGCTAAGTGTCATCTCGAGTGCTCGAAATTGGTTCCTGAGACTCTTTTTCTTGGATTGACAACTTCCTTTGAGGACCGAGTCATTTTCACATTTTTCGTTTTTCGGACATTATGCACCATTTCGTCTTTTCCCTATTCTATCATTTTCCCTATTTCGTCTTATCTCCGTTTGTCAGTTTTTGGCACAACCTCACTTTTTTTGCTCGGAGTTAGTTTTTGACTTCACGTGTCTTCATCTTGAGTGGTTTCCTCGAAATACGTATCTTCACTTTTGCAAGAAAGTATTCTGGTTGCTCTCGGTGTCCATAGAGGCATGGATGTACAATTCTTTAGAATCTTTTTCATTTCTTGGGGTATTTTTCGTAAATATATTTTGAAGATATTTTATTTCAGGGGCATCTAAGAAAATACCTTTTGGAAGATATTTTCATTCCGGGACAATTTCGCAGTTAACCCTTTTTGTAGGAGCCATTGTGCAATTAACGAAAGTTATTGCAAAATGTCTTGTCTGGAGCCTGAATCCTCGTACGGGATTCATTTTCACTTTTTGTTGACTTGTAAATTCATAGAATTCCGTTCTAGTTGTTTTTCTCCAGTTTTAGAGTTTCTGGACCCGGTAGCCGCTGAACTTATTCGGGGCATAACTTTCTGCTCGGGACTCAGTTTTTGACGCCGTTTCTTCCGTTGTTCATATTTTCTTATTTTGAATCTTTTTTGTTCACAAAGTTTTGCCGTTTGAGCTCGTTTGCTCAAAATCTACTTTTCCGAACCTGGCGGGGCCCTTTTGGGGCACTTTTTGAGATTTCTATAAATTGGTTGCCCTAATTTTTAAAATCAGATTTTCAGGCCTTCTTCCTCCTCTTGGCTGGCAGCCATGGGAGCCCAAGGGGCTGCCTTCACTCTTTCTTCTCCTCCACTTGATTTCCTTGGTAGAAATCCTTCGGCCTTAGCATTTATTGCTTCCCTCGACGTGCTTTATCTTTTGCCCTTATTAGAATCCATTTTTGACGATTTTTCGAGTTCGGGCTTGGAGTCAAGTTAAGATTTTCATGGGGCTTCTTACGGATTCTTGTTCATGATGTTGTCCCCGACAAAACCTCTCGGTATCGTCGAATTCGGAGCACTTTTATTTTGGTGGGCCTTTGGGATTTTCATCTCAAATTGAGGTAGGAGATGTTCTAGGTTTAAATTCTTGTTATATAGCATGCTTGTGATGCTTATACTACTTGTTTGCATGATTAAATATAAAATCTAGAGATTTTATTATTTATTTTTCTTGTACGGGATCTAATTTTTCCGGTTGCTCATGACTTGGTTTAAACATGTAGCATGATTTTATATTGCCCCTTGATATGCTCATTGTCATGTATTAAAATTGGAACATTTGAATAAGTATTAAAGATTTTATTTAATATTTATCTTAGGTGAAAAATTAATTCACATAGCCTTAACTAGCTTGAAATCGATATGTGTTAGCATGTTAAATTAGGCCTTAGCATGCTCTCTAACATAGTTGAATTTAAAAGCAATTGGAGGCGTTTTGAAAATTAGTAATTATTAATTAATTTAATTAATTGATTTGCCCCGAGTATACTATTCACTCTATTTGAATTCTGACTTGATATTTGTATTGGCCATGACTTGATTACTAGTATATATTAATTGTGGACCATTTGAAGTTGCTTTAGAACCTTGGTAATTAAATTAGCATGATTTAATTAGAGTTCTACTTGTTGTTCCAATAACCTA